ACACCAGCAATTCATACTTCTGGTTTTTAGCAATTAATCTTTTATTTAAATCGATGTTTTTTCCAGATTTATTCCAAAAGCAGTTAAGCTTACTAATTTGAATGGCTACCAACATTTGTTAGAACGACAAAAGAAGAATTTGCGGAAACATTTTTAAACAAGTGCTTAGTATTTGTAATCATGTAATGGCGAAGGACATATAATCTAAATTGAAAAACATCCTAGCTAACAGTAAAATCAGAATATCAACAAAATAAAAACTGTTAGAGTGTTACATTTTTTCCTGTGCTCACTTACAGCTCTGAGTCCTAGGCAATTTTTAAAGAAATGGAAAAAAAGGATTAATGCTGTTGAGATGTGGTTTCTGAAAAGAATTATGAAATCTGTTGGACTTCTACTTCTAGTGAGGATGTATTACAACTGTCCGGTTATGAAAAGAGGAAATTACTACAAATTGCGTAAACTCTTGATATTGGAAACTAAATGATGTTAAGGATGATTTTGTTATTAACTGTAAAAAAAATTTGATTGAGCAAATTAATGATTTTCTTTTTTTGGCGTTTATTTATAAAATGAATAAATGCATGATTTTCTTATGAAATATTTTAAACACTGCGTTGACTTTGTTCTTGTTTTCAAATATTCTGGAATCTGGAGAATAATTTTTAAAACAAGTTTGTAGGCTGATAGTACGATTTTTACTGAATAAATTTTTTATTGTGAGTGATGCATTTGGATAAACGATGGTGTCAGTTTCCATTTTTGATCATGTTTGTTAGTTTTTTTTTCTTTTAATAATAATTCGCGCGCTAAAATTTGTAATCATTGTTGCTATAACGTAACGTTGTGTGAATTATTTAAAGTTGGTTAGAGATATTTTCGTGTTTCGTTGTACTGAAAGTAAACAAACAGGCTTCAAAATAGAAATAGCTTTCAAAATTATCGAAACTTTGGGCTGAAGCGTTAGTTCAAGTTTATACGTGTTTGATATAGTGCTCTTGTCTGATGCAGTGGCCTAATTTTAATTTGCTCAACTGCTTGAACATCGAGATCACATCAACACAACATCACAAGACAGTAGCGCAAAAATATTTATCATTACAATATCACATCATAAAGAGCATTATTAAAACATTACATTATTATAACAATATCACAAGCCAACACCACATAACATCATAATTATTTTAACATGAACATCGCATCTCAACAACATTACATCACATCGTCACAACTTCACATAATAAGGTAATTTTAACAGACAACACATGACTCCCGCAAACATGAGCGTATTGTGCTGAAATTACGTTCGCCTTCTTTAACATGATTGTTGTTTTTCTACATAAATGTTTCAGATATATAAAAATAATATTGCCGATTGTATTTAAAACATTTATACGATGAAGTCACTAACTATTTTAAATCATTTTTTATTTAATCATGATTTTATATATTAAAACTATGAATTATTTTATTTATTTTTTTTCAAAAATCATTAAATGCATATTATATTTTTTGCAATCAAGTACGTTGTCCATTACATGTCAAATTAACATGTGATACAACTGACTGAATCTGTTTTGCCGATTATTTTGATGTTCATATTGTTGGCATGGAAGCTGACTTGTCTTCGTAGTTCATTAAACTTACGAAATAAAAATTATTGGAATGTATAATAAAACAATATTAACAACAACAACAACAACAATAATAGGAATAAATATATATTTATTTTTATAGTTATTATTAGTAGTAGTACTATTAGTATTATCGTTATTTTTTATGTAAAAAAAATTAATAGCATCAATGATACAATTCATTTTCCTCCATTCATTACTGTGTGTTTAGTTGTATAACGTTCGAACAAATGGAGGTGAATAAAAATGATAGAAATTACATTGGGACGTGACCACCTAAAAACAGCAATGATACAGTCGGCAGTGTAGCAAATATGATGGAGGAACCAGCCATCAAAGAAGCACATGAATCTCACAATGAGGCTGATTTGAAAATTTAACTTCCAACCACGTAATCCGCTCTTTATTGGTCGTTATTGTTGCCTTCATCGAAACCACTTTAAAATTTTAAAAATTTCCAAAATATTTAAAAATTAATATTCATCGGGTTCCTGAGCCTCTTTAAAAATTGATAATATATCTAACAAAGTTAATGAAGTTTTGAATAAAATGTTGGCAAAGGTTTCCAAATGTTCCATCAGTTATTATTGGCTCAAATTTAACAGCATTTTCAATAGAACGATTTTATGCATACGTAGATTTTATTATGCCACTGTATGTCGTTATATACAATATGATATATGACATGATACGATACGATATGATATATGATACGATACGATATGATATGATATTATATGGTATGATATAATATGATATGATATAATATGGTATGATACTATATGATATTATATAATATTATATTATATTGTAAATTATCTTGTAATAGTAATATGATATGATACAGGCACTTTTGCATCGTGCCGACAATTTCTGCATATATTTATGTTGTGAATCTTAGGTAACTGCTTGTTTGAACCGTCAGCAGCAGAGCAGTTATACCAATGCATGGCGTTTGAGATTGCAGCTACATTTTAAAAGCCCAATTATATTGATTAAATATTATTCACGTCAGCGAAAAGTGCTAATGAGCATCTTTTAAAGAAGTAGGATGAAGGAAGGAGTTAAATTAAAAATAATAATGATACTGAGCTGCATTTCAATACAACTTGCTAACGAATTTTATTGAATAAATAAACAAATTAGATTAGCAAATTAAATAAAAAAAACAATTTGAACTAGTAGGCCTTCTAAATGCTGTTAGAATAAGTAGCAGCCAGTGATCAATGAATAAAACGGTGAATGGTTAATAATTGACATCCGCTTATGAATGAATCATTCAGTGCAACAAATATGGTCGTATTCAGTGTTTTCAACTATTTCTTCTACTATATTTTCAATATAAAAGAGATGTGAGTAACGTTATTTCACAATCTACAAATAATTTTTTTGAACTTGAACGAATAATTATATAGGTCATTGTAAAGTCGAGTTTCTTATAAAAATTGTTATAACGTATATGATGAAATTTTATGTAAATTCCCATCAACAAGTTACGAAATTAAAATAATAGCCTCCAACCAGATCACTTCAAATTTATTTCTTATTTTTAACAATTCGTCAAAAGTCACGTTAATTTATGAAATTAATAGAGTTTCTATGAAGGAGGTAGCTGATGAATCTTATATTTTGAAAATTCCATAACTCAATGATTATTTTAGTGATTTATCAGTTCTTCTGATTTTAATATTTGTTGTATTAATTGGCTTCATATTATTCCACATTACATTTTTAGATATTATCCTATTGGTTGTAGAATCATCTTGACTTAGAATTAAAGTCTATTATGCCTGAAAGAGATGTTTGCAAGTGGATTTTTAAAACTATAATTTAATTTCATGTGAAAACTTGAATAAATTAACTTGCAGAATGGTGTCGGCAAGAAATGATCATGACTGTAAAGCTAAGAGTTCTGCTGATTAACTGAAATAATGTTCCCTTTGAGTATAGGATTTGTTAGTTTATGTTAAATTTAATATCATTTTTTATCAATTATATAACAATATTTATATAGCACATCAAATGCCTACATGTATCACATAAATCTATATAGTAATGCATACAATATAAGAGTTATCATAAGTGTATAGCACGCGTGTACAACAATAAAAACGTACTACAATGTTAAGTATAGCACTGTATGGACGTTGTTTATGTTAAAACTTATAGAGGATTTATATAATTGAGATTATAAAGCAGATTACACCATAGGCCAACTGAACCTAGTGGGCCTAAATAACGTGTAATGTAAAGAGTTTTTGAGCTGCAACGCGCAATGCGGTTTTATATTTCAACTTCGTCTATCATATTATAGTTGTTATGATTGCACACTTTTTTAAGATTTTTGTTTTTGTATTTACCGACTGAGATTCAAAGATTGGCGTCCGTAAAGTTAAAGAAGATTTGATGTAGGGTTGAATGAAATTTAAAAAGGATATAATATACGGTGTATTCTGTGTTCTCACGAGAAGGTTCGAAAACTTTACTTTTGTTTTTTTTGCATGAATTAAAAAGTTTAAATCCCGTAATATTAAATAGCATGATTTATATTTTTTTTACATTTATAACAGGTTTTAAAATTGTAGAATTATGTCATCAAACCCTGTTGATTTAAGAAGCAAAAACTTTATGATACTTCCGCATCATCAATACATGCAATCACTCAACTACAACATTCAAAACATGCCTTTCAATAACGCAAACGATTCAGATGATGTGCGCAACACACGCACCCAAGAGGGCGGCGATGTTGTTCAGCCGTCGCCCGTTGACAACCACGTCGTTATGCCGGGCAGCGTTTTTAAGAAAAGTTTTGAAAGCAAATACAACAACAATTTACTACAACTTAATTCGTCACAACTCTTCCCAGACCCTCGACTAATTAATTCGAGCTTTTTCGAAGCTTATCATAGAAATCGAAAATTCGCTTTAGCTGAATCGCTTTTCGCAAATCAGCAAATGATAAGATGTCTTCCAGCACCCGCTTCAATATCAAATAATAATGCAGCCATCACACCAACGTTTCCTAATGAAGACATGAAAAAACGTACCTCAGAGTTTGATAAGGATACCATACGAATGCTTCCTCATAGAAAACGTCCGATAGCTTCATTGTTTCAAGTAGATGATGACAAGCCTGAAAAATTAATTGCACCAGAAGAACCTAAAAGAATCATACAAGGATCAATGGTTTCATACAATTTGTCACCGGTGTCAATTGAAGAAGAAACTCGAGAATATTCCAACTGCAGCAGTGGTAGTGATTATTTGACTGCAAACGAATTGAAACAAGAAAAAACAAAAATGTGCATGAAAAATGAATTGTCAAAAGAGAAGCATGAGGAATGTGCAGACAGTTCTTCATTAGTGCTGAAATCTGGCAAAAGATCGTCCAGCGGCCAGTACAAAGACGAAGCTTACTGGGAAAGAAGAAGGAAAAACAACGAAGCAGCAAAAAGATCAAGAGACACTAGAAGACAGAAAGAAGAAGAGATTGCACAAACAGCTCAGTCGCTGGCGGAAGAAAATCTAGGTTTGAAAGCTCAAATAAAAATTTTAAGAAACGAATTGTCAACCCTTCAAGCACTGTTATTTTGTCCAACTCGAGCTTATTTGTCTCTGGAAAACAAATCGTAATGTGATAATTTGTTGTTGAATCACAAATATGTAGGTAGTGTAATTTTCATTTTGTGAAGAATAGCATCGCATTTGTCAACATAAAATAAAATAACGTAACGTTACATGGAAATAACATGTTACGTGCAAACATTTTCAAATGCCAATCATATTTGAAAAAACTTTACTTAAATGCTTTTTATTATCTGTTAAAAAACCCTACATAAATTATTCTCAGCAAATCTTGAATTATTAAAATATTTCTTTCATAGCCTTTTCCATACATCTATTTTTATTATTATATACTTATTATTATATTTGCATTCAAGTTCCGAGCATTTCGGAATTGTTGTTGTTTATGTTTTGTTATTACTGCGCCAAAAAAGCTAATGAAGGAAATTGTAAATTGTTCTCAATCATTAACTTTAGCTTGCGGCGTTGACTTTTAAATTTCTGTTTTATGGAAAACCCGTCCTTGTTTGTTTTGTTGCATATATTTCACTTCTGATTAAAATAGTTTTTGTTATTTATTTGGGTCAAATAATTTGTTTACTTGTTGATAGCAAATTTTATTACGTTTTTTAAATATTAATTAATAACTACCTCATCAATTTCATATGCAATTATTTTAATTATTGAATTAATTAATTTTATATTCTATTTTTACCATGACGTTCATTAAATATAAAAATGAATATGCATATATTTCTACATTTTTTCCAACTGCTATAAAACTGCGTGAAAAGACAAGCCCCAATATGTGTATCTCAATATTTGTTACTTACGATCATTTTTCTCGCATGTGATCTTTTAAAAGATATATTCCCTCACTTTTAACATCTACCACATGTTTTGCACAATTTTAGTTTAGTCATTGCGATAAAATGTTTGAACTCTGTTAATTTAAATTTTAAGTATTTTATTGTTTCATCACTATCATTGAAATGTTATATAAATTTATATTGAACAATATTTGAATTTTGAATGTTTAAAGTTTTAAATTATGAAGACAAAACGAAAGACCTGAGTCACCAAATATAAGCCGCCGCTCAAAGTTTCACACATTTGCATATATTTTCATGTGATTCCAATTTATTTTAACTCTATATAGTAAAATAAATATATATATATCAGTATATATTTTTATTACTATTAAGAAAAAACTTAATATAACGTTCGTTATAGCATTATATATATATATATATATATATAAATAATATAATACAACATAACATATATATAGTATTAAAGTATTGGGATCTCAAAAGGTGCTAAGCTACGAGTAGCCTACATGACGTTTAGTTTATGTTCTAATACATTTTTATTATAAACGTTAACATTTAATTTGTTGTGTGTGTTAAAATTAAAAAAAAAAGTGTTTTGGTGCCTTGTTTCTTCCTAAAATTTTATTATAGATACCTCTTACATTAAACTATGAAAATTTATTGAAAATTTTTCCCGTTTTCCACATTATAAAATTTACTGGAAGCGATAACACCAAGAACTTCCCGCTTATTATAACTGGTGTAGGGAGTTGAAATATAAAATAAATGTTTGCTGGTCAAGATCAGGTCAAATGCTCGATCTCAATTCCTATGTGTGACTCTTGATGTCTCTCATAAGATTCGTAGTCTAGGTTTTATCTTTGATTTTACTATGTCTCTCTCTTCTCAGATTAATAGTGTTGCTAGAAGCTCTTACTTTCATCTACGTAGAATAAAAAAACTTGCCTTTTCTTGATGATCCTACTCTTCTCCTTCTTGTTACTTCGTTAGTCTTATCTAGGATTGATTATTGTAACTCGCTCTACTATGGTCTTCCTGACTCTATACTCTATCCTTTAAGTAAAGCTTTTAACTCTGCTGCTCGTCTAGTTGCTCGTGCCCCTTTCTTTTCTCATATATCTCCATATCTTGTTCTCTTGCACTGGCTACCTATAAAATATAGAATAATTTTTAAAATTTGCCCGTTCATGTGTAAGTCTCAATCTAAATTATTTCCTAAGTATTTATCAGATATATTAATTGAACCTAAACGCCCCGGTTTACGATAGTCTTCTTCTTCTCGCTTTTTCTTAACTCGTGTTAAACACTCTTTTGCCAAATCTGCTTTTGCTTTTTCTGGTCCTTTTCTCTGGAACTCTCTACCTACTTCTCCATCACTTGTAAAGTTCAGAGCGGATCTCAAGACCCATCTGTTTTCAAAATTCATTGAGGGGCGGTGTTGAACATCGCAGAAATAGCGCTTTATAAGCTAATTGATTGATTGATTCTATTGTTTTACTACTTTACTATCATATTCTAACAATTATAATCTAATTTCAGTAAAATACCTGGAGCGAAATGCAGCGTCGACGTCGTACACAAATTATTACAATTTGAGCAGAGTAACTCTGAAAACGCATAACAATGATTATTGATGATACACAAGAGGTTGTAACGACTTACTTTTTCGTCAATCAATTAATCAATCCAATCATTCAATCAATCAACCAACCAACCAACCAACCAACCAATCCAATCAATCATTCAATCAATCTATTAATATATCTATCAATCAATTAGTATATTTCTGCGATGTTCAACATCAGTGAATTTTGTAAACAGATAGGTCTTGAGATCCGCTCTGAACTTCGTAAGTGATGAAGAAGAAGTGAAGGAGGTAGAGAGTTCCAAAAAAAGGGCCAGAAAAAGCAAACGCAGATTTAGCAAAAGAGTGTTTAACAGAAGTTAAGAAAAAGTGAGAACAAGATGACCGTAAACCGGGGCGTTTAGGTTCAATTAATATATCTGATAAGTTTATAGGAAATAATATAGATTGAGAATTAAACATAAATGTGCAAATTAAAAAAATTTTTCTATATTTTATAGGTAGCCAGTGCAAGAGAACAATTTGAGGAAATATATGAAAAAGATAGGGGCACGAGCTACTTGACGAGCTGCAAAGTTAAAAGCTTTACTTAAAGGATAGAGTGTTGAATCAAGAAGACCATAGTAAAGCGAGTAAATACATAATCAATCCTAGATAGAACTAAAGAAGTAACGAAAAGGAGAAGAGCAGGATTGTCAAAAAAGAAAAAAATTTTATTCTATTCTACGTAGATAAAAGTAAGAACTTTTAGCAACACTATTAATCTGAGAAGAAAGAGACAAGACATGCTATAACCAAGCTACAAAACTTGTGAAAAACATCAAGAGAGGAAGACCATAGTAGAGCGAGTTACAATAATCAATCCTAGATGGAACTAAAGAAGTAACATAAAGGAGAAGAGTAGGATCGTCAAAAAAGGCAAGTTTTTTTAACCTACGTAGATAAAAGAAAGAATTTTATTTTTAGCAACACTATTTATCTGATTATAAAAAGAGACATGCTAGAAACATTAAAAGCCTTAGAATCAGGTAAAATAGAAATCAAGCTACAAAACTTGTGAAAAAATGTCAGAAATGCAATTATTGTCAATTTTCGTTCTGCTTCTCCCATGTGCTTATGTATAAGAATTGATCTATAGTGGGTGAACTTGAACATTGACTATTTACACCTTGCTACCAATATCTCAATTTTGGTTCAGACCTGCTCACAGGTGTTGGATTCGAAAATTTTTGCTAAAGTAAGAGTTAGAATTTTTTAGACAACCGAGTCTGATGGACTCCTGGATGTCAAAAAATTGTCTATATATATATTCTAAAAATTTGTGTTAAAAGCTCGTGCCTTTTTTAGAGACGTTTGAAGTATTATTATATAGTTATTATTATAATATACATAGCAAACACTCACATTGAGTTTAATTTAATCTCTTTATTTTCAATAGAATAATGCACATATAATGACAGCATTTTTATAAACAGCATTCTTATCGAATAATGTAAAGCAAAAAATATATATTTACAAATGTTATTAAAATAAAAAATTAACATTTCATAATTTTATTTATACGTCGTTTAATACTTAGCCTAATTAAAAAACGTACAACTTTTAAAAGATAAAATACATCCACGAATGAAAAAAGGTTTGACTGAAATTGGACATGAGCATATTAAACTTAAAAATTAAAATCAAAAATTCATTAATAAATTTGTTAGAAAATAATTTTTTACAGTTCACATTTGCAAAAAAGATCTTTCATTCGCTACAGACAGAAAATGGTAAAATTAAAATAAAGAATCGAACCCAATTGTAATTTATTGAAGCTGTTACAATTAATGTGGGACCAATATCCAAATGGAACGACTAGCTGAACGATTGAACGTGCGGATGAAAAAGTATCTGCCGACAAGAGATGTTTTTATTAGCAAGCACCCTCCATGTCTTACTAAGAAGTTTGCCCAATCATCACCAAATCAATCATAAAATCAATAAATGATTGTTGCACTATCCAAACAGAGTCTGTTCTCTTATAACCTGTTAAAACTTTATGAATCAAAACACATTTCATGATAATGTGATAAAGATAAAATACAGTTATAAAACAGTATAAAAGATATTACAAATAAGGTTGACAGATTGGCATCATATCATCATCATATCATCCTTGCTAGATACAAATTTTAAATGTTAGCTAAAAGATCGTCATGTTCTTTTGTTGCAGAAAGCAGCAACTTACTAGTTAGTTACCACGTGATGAGAGATGTCCCATATCTCGCACTGCATGGGTACTGGGTGGGTTGATATTTTTTTTTACAAAATTCATTTGATTTTACTGCTTTAAATGAAAATATTCATTATTAGGTGTTAATAAATAACATTATATATATATATATATATATATATATAATGTTATTATATATATATATATATATATATATATATGTGTGTGTGTGTGTGTGTGTGTGTGTGTGTGTGTGTGTGTGTGTGTGTGTGTGTGTGTTGGTAATAGACCATCATTTTTACAATATTCTATAAATTCTACCGAATGTTTGGCGTTAATATGTTTGTAGTTCGTTTTTTCGATTTTTCTCACTTAAGTTTTTTGGTGAACGTTTAGTTTATTAAAATTCAAAATAAACTTATTTTCCGAATTCATGCTGCAAATAAGGCCATATTTCGATTCCGAATGAATCATCATCAGTGCTTTCTGTTGTTTATATAGGGAAATATTGACTTTGTCAAAGTGAACTTAGATGGAAATTAGATGTCAGGTTTCTTTATTGGGTGGTCATCTTCTTTGGTCTCCTTTTCTTCATCGATAGCATCATATTCTTCTTTGTCACTATCTACAATGCTAGTTTTTATTACTTCTTTGTTTTCGTTGTTGGTTAAGCGCCGGGTTGGAAGTAAGGTTGTCATTTTTTGTTGTATATTTATTTTTGGTTTATTGATGTCAATTAGGACTGCTTCTGCAATTTTAAGATGCGTGTAGTTGCTGTTCTGGTATATTACTTTGGTGTTACTGTCGAGGATTTCACGGCTTATAGTGATTGAATGTGTTGAGTCCAAATGAGATTTGATAGCACCACTCTGTTTATGCATCGTAAGCCTTCTAATCAATGAGGTAGTAGTAATCCCGATATATGAGTCATGTTGACGTGCACAGCCTTCAAAGGGGCAATTAACTTCATATATTACGTGATTACGCCTTAGCATATATATATATATATATATATATATTGGAAGGAGGTCATATTATATACAGCATTGTATGAATTCTACCGAATTGCTGGCATCAATCAGTTTAAAGTTTGTCTTTTCAATTTTCCCTACTAGAATTTTCTGGAAGTTGGTCAATTTATTGAAAATAGAATTATTATCCAAGTTCATCATGAAAATTTAATGAAACTGTTGTTATCCAAATTCACCATGCAGATAGGCCTTATTTTGATTTTTCACAAATCCTTTTCAGTGCAGCTTTCTGTTCATATAGTTTCTTTAAACAAGTCAAAGTTAGTTACTTAGCAAAGTTAGATAATTAGTTGGTGTTATAAATTCTTCATCTTCTTTGTTGTTGTAGTCACTTCCTTGTTATTGGAATTAAAATAATTCTGTTTTCAATAAACTGAACAAATTTCCAGAAAATTTCTAAAAAGGAAAATTGAAACGACAAACTTTAAATTGATTAATGCCAACAATTCGGTAGAATTCATACAAAACTTTATATATATATTAAAAAATTTATATAGGAGTTTATATAAAAATCTTTCGAAAGTGCTCTCACAATAATTAATGTCCATTTAAATTAACGTTCTTGAGAGTTTTGTTCGATTTCGCAAATGTTCAGGTTAGGAACTTTTTTTAGCGATCACATCTGAGAATTTGGCATCAACACAGTTGGAAGGAAGCTGATGGCTGCAAACCATCGAGCTCAACATCATTTTAAACTTTTTTTGAACGTAGGATAGCACGATATCATGATGTCCACACAAATCAACCTAAGATGATCAATTATATCAGACGCCACACATTGTCAAGTTATTTTCCAGTTATCATTTTATCTGCAGTGATTTTTGATTTATTAAGCACACGAGTGCCAACAACAGTTAGTTATTTTCTATTACCAATTGCATTTTTACGCTTCACAAAATGAAATCTTCAGTTTAGGGTTCATTGTCTGTTGTTTTACCAAATAATTTTAATAAATCATCGACAGGTGCGTCTCTTTTTACCTGGAGTAAGTTCAAGATGTGTGTACCTGTAACAACACTTTTTATTCAAGCTACCCCAGCTAGAACTGTATTTACGTATTTCACACTGTATTCGTTGTATTCAAAAACGTCAAAGTTATACCTGGCGAATCATGTGTCGCCCAACATAGACTCCTTGTGGCAGACCTGGTTGTCGAACTGTCAAAACATAAGTCTAAACAAATGCCTCGGAGAATAAAACGTGGAAGCTGAAAACCAATATTCATCGAGAAAAATTTCAACAGATTGTCGCCACACAGTTAGACCACCAACCGCAAGCCAGTACAGATTGGAGTACATACAAAACCATTTTAATGAACGCTGCAACTAAAGTTTGTGGGAAAACTGGTACAAAACGTCAGTATGAACGTGACACTTGGTGGTGGAATGACAGTGTACAAAATGCAATAGCTGAAAAGAAAGTTGCATACAAGCAATGGCAAAAATCAAAGTCTGTTGATGACCACAAAATTTTCCGTGAGAAGAACAACTATGCAAGACGTCAAGTTGCACTGGCTCGGACTGATCAGTGCAGAGAGTGGCTCACTAAAAGCAAAGGTGAACAAATGAAATCTCTGTATCGTATAGCAAAACAAGCAAAGCGTACGAAAAAAGACATAGTTGGTGCCTCATGTATCAAAAACGACAAAAATGAGATGGTTCTTGAACAAGATGAGATCAAGCTACAATGGAGAGAATACTTCAACCGTCTGTTAAACGAAATAAATCCCATCAATGTTAACTTTGACGCTCCACCCATCGAAGGTCCGATTCCAGACATCACTGTAGAGGAGCTTACAGAAGCTCTGAAAGCTATGAAGGATGGAAAGGCAGCAGGGCCCTCTGGACTCACAAATGACATTATCAAAGCATCTGGTACTGCAGGTATTCAAACGTTACTACAACTTTGCCGTGAAATCTGGAGAAATTGCTCAATGCCGACTGAATGGAACTATAGCATGACAGTCCCGCTATACAAAGGCAAAGGTGATCCATTGAACTGTTCATCATATCGGGGTATACGTCTGTTAGAACACTCCCTGAAAATTGTCGAAAAAATCATTGAGAGAAGATTAACGTCGTGCATCACAATCGGAAATTATCAATTTGGTTTTCTAGCGGGGAAATCAACAATTGATGCTATTCACATCCTTCGGCAACTGCAAGAGAAGTACCTCGCAAAGCATCAACAACTATCACACATTTTTGTAGACCTTGAAAAAGCATTTGATCGAGTTCCCCGTGAAGCAATCAGGTGGAGTCTACGTCGACAACTCATTCCAAAATATCTTGTTCGACTTGTGATGGAAATGTATACGAATACCAAGACTCTTGTCAGCACAACGGTTGGAAACACAGATGCATTTGACATCGGCGTTGGAGTTCACCAAGGCTCGATTCTCAGTCCACTGTTATTTATAACTGTGATGGAAGAAATCACAAAACCGATACGCACTAGTGACATTTGGAATCTAGTATATGCTGATGATATCGTTTTAACAGCCACGTCTGAGCAGAAAGCAGCACAGATGTTTGAAGATTGGAACACCAGACTCGCTGATCATGGATTCAAAGTCAACATCAGCAAAACCAAAGCAATGAACACTGGTGAACCCATCCAATCCACAGCTACTGGACGATGGCCCTGTTCAGTTTGTAAAGCTGGTGTAGGTAACAATTCAATCAAGTGTCAGCAGTGTAACCAGTGGTGTCACAAACGTTGTTCAAAAATAATTGGTACTTTATCTAAAGTGTCCAATTTTGTTTGTCCTGCTTGCATCAATCCACAACAACAATATCGAAATAGCACTGTTTTTGAAGCAATTAAAATAGAGAAAGTCACATCGTTTCAATATCTAGGGGATGTTCTGGATTTTACTGGAACAGCTGAAGCTGCCGTTCGAGCACGCATACGTGCAGCCTGGAATAAATGGCATCTCCCTGCCCCTATATTGATGCGGCGTGACATCCCACTACCACTATGATCAAGACTTTATAAATCTGGGATACGTCCGGTGTTGTTATATGGTGCAGAAACATGGCCAATGACAACCAAACTGGAAAAACAACTTCTACGAACCGACATGAAAATGCACCGATGGATGCAACGTATTAGTCTGAAGGACCACATCAAATCTGCCGAAATCCTGGTTTAGATGATATAAAGGACGAATGCCGGCAACACCGTCTGCGGTGGTTTGGTCATGTCAAACGAAGTAGAAACAGTGCCATAACTTCTCTTGCAGATGTTGAAGTACCTGGCACACGTCCCAAAGGCCGTCCAAAGAAGTCCTGGTCGCAAACAATCGAGCAAGACATGAAAGCTCTAAATTTAAATGAAATGGATACAACTGATCGTCTAATTTGGCGCAAAAAGTTGATGGCAAAGAAAACAACGTCCTACCTCGGGAAACCGGGTCTCTGGACGCAAAACGAAGATTGGTTGATTGACACTGTATTCGTTGTGTTTATTGGCTGGTTGTTGTACACCTTGAATATTTGTAGGCAAATTTCCGTGGCTATCAAGGTGTGTTAATCGAAAAAATATGAATTATAAATGACAGCATACCTCAGCAATCATTAGGTGTGCATACTGACCAGTCCGCTATCCAATGAACCCGCACTGCCTCTGTGCACATCTGCAAAGTGTGGTATGTTTTTGTGTTCATGCAGTTGTGCAATTCAAGTTATTTTCAGACAAATAAAAATCTTAAAATTATATTAAAAATTGATAATAACATTGATTTGATATTCTAATTCATGAGCTACAAAAATTAATTGTGGCACTAACAAATATTTGTTCAGTTTTTTTTGTTATTAAACAGCAAATTTTTATATTTAAAAAATTAACTTGACATAAAAATTTGAATGAATTATGCTTACACTCTACTACATCTGGCAATGAAGGAGAGCTGCTAACTCGAATTGCACCATCCCCTGCAGTTGAAAGCCTGTTGTTACCAAAATCTGAAGGTCGCAATAACTCAATGTCAACGACTCCAGAATCCTTACTGTGTCTGTTGTAGGTGCAGTGCTTCTGCTTCATCAACTGCTGCTTCATCAGCTCTTCTTCTATTCTCAGTGCCTCCATTTCGTTCATCTGCATTAAAAATCATTATATTTTTAAAAGTTCATTACTGTATAAAAATTCAAACCGTGATAACATTTTAAAATAGTTTTCAGAAATGCTGACACAAATAATCTGAAAAAATCATTTGAATGAACACACGTCTACAACAACATTGGAATGTCCTGACAGGAACAGTTTACTTACTGATGGTGCTGAGATCTTTACTTAAAATTTTTAACCTCCGATAATTAAAAGCAAAATTTTTTGGTATCCTTTAATAAAGCCAACTGAACAAACTAAAAATCTAAACTCATATAATAAAACCAGAATAAGTTGAGTTACAAAGTAAATAATTCACCAATTTAACAGAAGCTGATTGTATATCGTAATTAAAATTAACAACAGTTGTAAATATTGTATAGAAAACATTTTCAGGACATGTAGAAAATCACAAACTTCTAGTATGGCTTCTTTGAGGTCTTCGACAAACTTCGTCCTGTCATGCTCATTGCGAGCATTCAGCATGATGCCTGCTTTGCCATTGTTGCCATTTTTCAACTGGATACCGAATTTGTAATCTGGAAAATTGAAACATTATTATCATGACATTATCAACACAAACATTACCACAAAAGATTGGATAAAATACATACATCAAAGTGACAGATAATGAAATATTGTTTTGACATTTTTTTTTCATAAAATGAAGCAATTAAGACAAATAAAAAAATATTATAACGAAAACAACTAATTCCATAATTGCTCTGAATGTAACCAATTTTGTGCCTCATTAAAAAATTGTGCGTTATCATTTAAACAATAGGCTCCATCTTTTCAAGCGTTTTCTCAAAACCACTTAAACTGAAAATCAAATTTCTGGCATTTCTTTTTCAACAATTACCTCTACCACCTTTTAACCACACAAGCACTGTTTGTGAAATCAGGTGTGTGACACCTCACACCATAAACTGAGCCCCACTGACAATGCATTTTTCATTGATGTGTTACTTTTTTTTCATTGGCGTGATGCTTCAATGGTTAAAGGCGCCTGGTCTTGCTGCTGCATTGACTGATTTCGAATACAAAGAGATCCCCGCCTATCATATGTAATGTGTATGATGCGTGGTTTTCACGCGTATTCATATACGCGGTGCGTGTTTGTCGTTGAAGCCTCTGAAGCAAGTGCCAAAGAGAGTGTAATCATTATTTTAACCTTTAACCAAATCAGGTAGTGTTTTCACGACAACCTTGATCCATACCTAGACCTTCAAACAGCACTCGCCCTATAACGTAACTTTGATTAACATGTTTTCATTGCTTAACAATTTCTAATGAAATAAATGGACAACAACATACATTGAGATTCAAACAAGTAGACGATCATTCCAGAGAGTGTGAATGTACACCTGTAGCTGTATTGAACTGAATTCTTTTTCTTACCGATAATCTTTGTAACCTTGAACATTTGATGTTTTAATCAAAAAAATTATCCAGCTAATATTGATTTTATGTTCGATGTTAGAAGTGAAAAAAACAGTTTCATGCTTGGAACTTATTTTCAGATATGGAAATCTAAGAAAATTTTTTCATTAACTTATTTTAATATTTCGAAAAATTATGTAGAAAAATGTCTTTCTACTTAGTTAATTTTGGAACCATAATATAAGGATTGCATTGGATGCTTAATTGTCGACATGATAAATAGTATGAAAACATTGAAAACAGAATGACTCACCATGATCATGTCATTGAAGAGGAACACTTCCCTTTGATGCAGTCCCAACTTTTCTTTTCTACTTGGATCTTGAACTTCATACAAGCGACAGTAGCAAACCAAACGACGATGCAGTTCCGCTAATTGCTGGACAAGTTTTTTTTATATTCATTTCAATGTAAATAGCGAGGCGATTGTTAAACGTTTATCCAAAACAACTTTACCAAGTCAAATATTTTGATATTATGTTTTTTATCTTAGCACAAAAAACTATTATATCTTATTTTTAAGATATATTCACCAACACCCAAAAGTGACCTGGTTTATTCAAATGTCGTTTGCATAAAAATCAAAAAATTATCAATACTTACGAGTATGAAAAATGTAGGAAAATATGGTAGTTTGAAGTTTTGATAGTCGAAAATAAAAAAAACTTCTCATTTCTTCATAAAAAAATTGTATGCAAATTGAAGTCTGAAAGGCGAGTGTCAATAGGGTGTCCATACATCTGGATGATAACAGATTTGGAAAGTCACGGGAATATTTGGGGAATGATTTCAATTCTAATGAAATTAGTCGAGGTAGAACTCACAAAAATTACTAGAATACTAGAATAAGAAACAATAAATATGGTCCTAAGATATTAAAAGAGTACAAAAAAACTGCTCATATCAATTCATAGAATGTTTGCTAGTCGGATATTTCTTACAACTTTTATAAATTTTGTTTGTTATAGAGAAATTTTGTTCGTTCTATAGAAACAGTTTTATATGTAAAATTCCAAGGAACAAAAAATTCGTTACAGAGATTTTCGTTGTATAGAAGTTCGCCTATACTATACTTTTCAATTAATAAAAAACATTTTTTCTTGTTTGAAGATTTTAAAATTTGTTTTTTCTTTCACAGAAAGGCAGGAAATTATTTTTTTTTTTAAGAAAACTCGAATCTCCCCTCAAACTAAAATACGTAAATAACGTTTAAATTAGTTAGGGAACAGACAGACTGCCGGACAGAGTCTAATTCTAAATCAAGGTAATACAACAAATAATATAAAAAACTAACTGGCTTCTTTCCAACAATCATCTGTTCTACTTTGGCAACTTGCGAAACATGATCAGCTCCAGGAATGAATTCTGAATCTTTAATTCTTCCATATATTCCAGTTAATATGTCACCGTCAACATCTTCTCCATCATCGATACCTTTCGTTTTTTAGATGCACTTTGGTTACCAGATTGGAATGTTGAACAAATGATTGAAAATTGATTGAAAGATGCAGTAATGAAGTCAACAGGCATCAATATTTGCGCACAGAATTTCCACTTGAATGTAAATTAACATGACTTGCAAGAACTAAAAATAGAATAAAATGGGGCAAATGCTTCTTGGTCAACATTTAATGTACAATAGTTCAATGCCTGAATTTATCTGTAATTTAGTCATCACAACAAACCTCTGAGGTTCTTTATGAAATCTTCCAGTTTCATCTTCCTATCAGCCTTGATGCTTTTATTGTGCAGATCAGTGTTGAGCATAATGGTTGCAAATGCCAGTAGAAAAACAGTATCTGGTCTATGGAAGGACTTCACAATATCTGGATTGCAGTGGCAATACTGACTTGCAAATGCCTGAATTATAGTTATGTGACATGTTCTAATAATAAATGCTTGGATTCATCATGCAATTTATACTTAAAAATCCATAGTTTTTATTTAAAATTGAAGACTGATCACACAAAAACAAATTAATTACCTCCATGAGTCTTTCAATTTTTTGAGCTTCACCCTGTAAAAATGAAGTAAAATAGTATTGTTATATATGTATATATATATATAAATATATATATATATATATATATATATATATATTCACAATTCGTTTATTTATCAAACTAGTAAAGATTTATATTTAAAAATCCATAACCTTATATATATATATATATATATATATATATATATATATATATATATATATGGCTGGAAAGAGACCATAATTGATGCAATATTTGATAAAATCTACAGAATTTTTAGCTATGGTAGTTTACAATTTAGCTTTTCAATATTTCTAACAGTAATTTTAAAATTATCACCCAATTTATTAAAATTAATAAGAAAATCGTTGGTGTTCATGATAAAGCATATGAGCTATATTCTGATTTTACTCGTCATCAGCGCATATATAGAGATATTTCATAGATTTACAATTCTCTGTGTGTGCAAAGTGCTTTTATTCTGGTTTGACCTGTCCGTTTATCCGTGTGGTGGGGAACACTTGGTTCACAAGGGAACCAGCGCGATTGATTACTTATAGGTCAGGGGAACATAGATCGATGATCAACTATATATTGGTAAGGGCCAAACATAGGAAGTATGTGAAGAATGTGAAGGCGATACCTGGTATGTTGCAGCATAGTATGGTTGTGATGGATGTGACATCAAAAGAAATGGGGAGGAGGAAGAAGGATAAGTTTGTGGCAAAGAGAAAGACATGGAAGTTGCAGGATGCAGAGGTGAGGAAGGCATTTGAAGTGAAGGTGGCTGAAAATTGGGAGAGTGGTAAGGATGGAGATGTTTGGGAGAGATACAGGGACTGTGTGTTGGCTACGGCAGATAAAGTATGTGGATGGACGAAAGGAAAGTGTAGGCATGGTGAGACGTGGTGGTGGGATGAAGATATAAGAAGGGTTTTGGAAGTCAAGAAGGAGAGGTTTAGGGTATGGAGAAGGGACATGACGGAGGAAGCGGAGTGTGAGTATAGGAAGGCTAAGAAGGTGCAAAACA